GACCCTACCTGACCCAGGCCCCACTGCATCCCTGAACACAGCCGACTCTCACCTCCAGTTTGCCGCGGGTACAGAACCGAGGCAAAGCGAAACCGTTAGGCATAGGCCTCTCATCGATGGTCGTGTCAGGGCTTGCTAGTCTTGGCTCACGTGAATGGGCCACCCAACTTCACTCGAGTAGCTGACGTTACGGGGCGAGAGGGTATCGATGGGGCGTTAGCTGATGTTTCTGCGTCACGTTGCTATCATGGGCCTCCTATTCCTGGTACCCACTCATGCCGTTCGGTAAGACGACGACGGGCGCCCCTCGCATTGCCGGAGCTCGTTCCGCCTCTTCCATATCCCGTCGTGACCCCTCAAGTCCCATATGGGCAAATCCTGAAACACCAAGCATGAGGCCTATCGCATCGCCGAAGCACCAAGTTGGATCACAGCTACACTGTTCTTCGATCGAATTCGTACCCTCCCATAAGAACGCTTCCATCCATTGCAGATGGTGACATCTTACGTTCGGTTACGTCTATCGCCTGATGAAAGGGAACCTTCTTGGACATTTCTGCTTACTCCATTCTCCATTGAAGAGGGTGCTAGGAATGCAATCCTCGTGTTTTTCACTCGACTTCGTCACTCATGCACGAGGAACGTCCCATGCACGTGTATCTGAGTCGAGTGAAAAATTGTCTACCTCAGTGAAAAACACTGGAATGTAGCCTATTTCGCATCTCGTGGAGAACGGAAGCAGCGAGAGCCATCTGGTGCGAGCAGCGTGCAGCAGATCCTCACGAATTGCCAGCACGCATGAGTCGAGTCACGTCACCCCGTCACTTCCTTGATCTGTGTGGAACTGCCTCGAGAGAATTTCCTCCGATGGCGCGTGCTGCACAGTTTCTTGCCACGAGACCGTTTCACCCTCGGCGTGTCTTGCATCCTTTCCGCGTGATGCTGAAGCAGGCAGACACGCACGTGCATGCCCGTTCCAAGGGTTTTAATAAAACGCAAGACTTGGAAGGAGAATCGGGATCGATTCGGTCTGCACGCAGGCAAATGATAGGGAGAAGTCATTTTTGAAGAGTGAATTCGCCCAGTGAGTCAAAATGCAGTCATATCTACCTGGTAAATAAATAAATAAATACAGAGCACTTTCAGATTCTTTGGAGGGGATCACATAAGAACTGCCGCGCTGTCTGCTCCTTTTTTTTTATAACGACTTCTGTGCATCCTTGAAACGTACTAAATTCTTATTAATTTTGACTCACCCTCGTACTTTTACTTTTGGAGCAAAATAAGTGGAAAGGAAGGAGTCAGAAGCGATCGTTTGACCCCGCCCTGAGCGACCCCGCTCGCCCGCCCGACCTCCTTCGCCGCCTCCTCATCTCTCATCACACGTCGCTCCCTTCCCGCCGACCCGATCCAGCCTGGATCCCCTGGGCCTCCAGCGACGTCTTGTGAGGAACGGTATCGAAAGCCTTTGCGAAGTCTAAATAGACGATGGCCACGGGATTCCCCGTATCCCGCTCTTCCGTCGCCCAAGTGTAGAATTCGAGGAAGTGAGACAACTACGACGCCTCCTAAAGCCGCGTTGAGAGTCGCGGATGAGCGCGTTTCCTTCGAGGAAATCCCAAAATGTGCCACTTCCTCGTGAGACTTACCGGCCTATAATTTCCCGGATTACTCTTTTCACCCTTCTTAAAGATCGGTGCGACGTTCGCTGGACGAGGTCACCTCCTCCAAAGTCGGATTCCACGGTGAAAAAAACGGAAGCGAAGAACTCGTTAAGTATCCCAGCCATGCCTTTATAACTTGCAATCGACTCCCCCCTGTCGGTAATTAGAGGACCGGCCGACTGTTGAAACCTATCACTAGCATATCGATAAGAAAAAAAAGCGTTGGGGTTCTTGGCATGCTAGCCAGCCGTTCTTCGACCTCATTTCCCGCTTCGACGTCTTCCCGATCTTCATATGTTCTTCATAGTCCGTTCTATCTCCCGTGCGCTTGTCCGATTTCCGCTTTTTATCCCTCACGAGGGCTTTCATTTTACCTGCATAACAGACCGGTTGCCTGCCCGATTTCATGGACTTCTTGGGGACGCATTCCCCCATAAAGCCCAGCAACAACGTCTCGAACGATCGCTCCTCTACCGTCGGCCCGCTGGACCTTCCCTCCCAGTCGATGCCTGGATTCGCGTGGTCTCACAAAATTAGCCTTCTTATAGTTGCACGCAACTTTCGTCGGTTTGGCGTTACTCTTCGTCCGCTCGATATTCCACGAGATCGCGCAGTGGTCCGAATCTCCCAAGTTATCCTGTACCTTAACGTATAGGGCCAGATGGTCGCGAGAACTAAATCCAATAAAGCTTCCTCGCGACTTGGTTCTTCCTGGTATCGAACGAGAAGATCGTCCAGAACCGCAGCGAGAAATTCTCTATCCCTTTCGCTCCCTCCTCGCTGCACCGACCAGTCTATGTTAGGCATGCTAAAATCTCCGAAGAGTACAATACCTGCTTCGAGATCTCGCTTCGTCGATCTTGAGAGGACACCACGAAGGGGTACTTGGCCTACTACCTGACACAAGTGTAGAAGAGTAATATCCGGCTCTCACCACGAAGAGGTGACCCACTCGAAAGTCATAGTTACTCCCGCCGTTTACCTGCGCTTAAATGAATTCCTTCACTTTCACCTCCAGAGCTCTGGGCAGAAATCACATCGCGTCGAAGCATAGAGTGTAACTAGAGGCGACACAACGAGGAGTAAAGGAGGGTCGAAATATTACAGAGACATCTGGTGGCTTGTTATCATCTCGAGTGGAAAGTTTTCTTTCTTATGCACGTTTTTAGAGGTATTGAGCTACTATTGGTGCGCTCGGATGGCCCCTTTTTCATGTATCCCTGTTATTGTAGATAGATCACGTTATGCCGACAGGAAGAAAACTGATAAGACCGGTTCGAAGCCGCTGCAGACGACTCTGTTTGGAATTAAACAATGGACCGAGAAAAGTTGTCCTTGTATTGTGGACACCATAGGGAAACCTGATATGCCCCATGCGAAGCTGCTGCAGACGCCCGAGCCAGAATTTTTCGAGTCTCGCCGCAGATCGGGGAATCGTCTCGGACTCCAGGTCGGCTTCAAATATACAGGATGGTCCAAAAAAAAGGCACTCCTGCAATTTTTACTGATGCATTCAATCAAATTTTTTTTCTGGTTGCATGTAATGGAAAGAATGCTTTTTTAGACTTGAAAAATCTGTAAGGATGACCTAAAAAAAAATAATTGAATTTCGGTTACGAAAAATCGACGTTGCGCTCACCAACTCGACCCAGCACCGATGACCCTGCACTCACGAGAAAAGGGAAACGCTGACCTTGGCAGAGGTCGCGAGGCTGATTGGAGCGCAACGCCGATTTTTAGCATCCGATATTCAATCTTTTTTTTCTAGGTCATCCATTAAGATATTTCATGTCTGAAAAAGAGCATTTTTGTGACTGAGTCTTCCTTCTTTCCATTACTTGTAACCAGAAAAATATCCTTGAAAGCATCACACCAAAAATGCACAATGCAAAGAGTACCATTTTTTTGTGCCACCCTGTATATACCGTCCTTCCACCCTCTGTCGATTCTCCGAATCCCCAAACATAAATGATCTTCGCACAGTGCACCCCTGGGGAAAAAGCGAAAGACAGAAAATCTCCGTTCGTAGAGCCAGCACTTGCCTGTCACCTAGCCGCCTGAGAGCACCCCCAGACGGTCGGTTTGTGCCTTCAAAATTGAAGTCATCCCATTCCGACTGGCCTGTCGATACGAGACGCGGAAACGTTCACCTTTTCGTTAGGGTCGTTGAAGTCACTCAGCATTTTACTTCGTCCACCTGTTACATATATGTAAAGCCATGACCATAGTGCGAAGCCCTAGGTGCCCATGCGCGTGCCTTTTCGGATCCTTGGGAAACCGACGAAACGGAACATTTCCATCCATTTGGCCAAATTTCTCCTGGCATGGTGCGTAGGTGCAGTACTTGGATCCAGAAGCAGCCATATTTCATGCGACATTCCGATCCAATGATCCCATCGGTCAGTTCTGCGTAGTTCCGGGACCTAACACCAGGGCAGGTTTCCCCTACATCGTGTTTCGTATAGGATGTTCTTCCATGAGCTTTGCCAGAGCATGATACCGTTTAACCCTCATTCCACGAGTCCGGCCGGCATGCCTGTGCGATAAGCCGCATGGATTTCCTGCTTCCGCATCCTGCCTCACAATGCGGGATTTCCTTCCGACCTCTCGGGTAAGGCCTGGGTAAGGATTAGGTTTCCTTGTACTTGTATGGCTGAGATATAAGGCGCGCCGGTCTGCAGTTTGTTTGCATCTGTGACCCATTGGTGTACTCGGGGAGTAGTAAAAAAAAAAAGGTAAGGTTCACTGGAGGGGCTGGAGGAGCATTTCCCATTGATTAAATAACCTCAATTTCCGCTCGACTAACCACAACTTACTGTTGTTTTACGTTAGTACTCACAAGAAGTGATTTTCGATTGTCATCGAATTATCGATTGGACGAAGAATTAGCTTTACGCAATCCATGTACTTTTATGAAACGATTCTTCCATTTGGAATTTTTTAGAGGATGAATCATAAACGCTTTTTGCCATGGATTTGTCGAGTACACAAAGAATTAGATTTGTATTACTTTATTGAGGGCCTAAATGATACGATTTTACGATTGGGAATTTATTTTGGTATGGTCCGACCGCGATAACGAGTCTGAATTGGGAAATCAATACGGGAAGATGGAAGAATCGGTTAGCCAACGTGTTTGGACGCGTTATCTTAATTGTATTGGTTTCCTTTCTCTGTCGCCCTCCCATGCTTTTACAGCCTGACGGTCAAGGACATGTCGGGGAGGGGAGTCAGAGGTGGGAGGGTTCCCCATGATGCATGTTCAATCATGGGGTGTCCCTCTTTAAGTTGTAGCACTTATCCGAGAATGGTACTTGCTGGTATAGCACACCCTCAATGGGTTACTTTAGAATGATTGTGTAATGTAGGGAGAAAGGAATGACATGCTATCATACCACAAAAGATAAGTACCCCTGGGACTATCTACCAAGGTAGATTGAGCAGAACTCATTGGTTGAAATGCTTGGAAAATTAAGTTCAGAAATCACTGAATCTGTAACTGGCTGCAGTATCTGATGTGGTTGTGGCTCTCCTTTAACTTGCATTTACATATCCTTACAGATTCTAGCTTTGACCTAGTTGGAATGGGCTTTAGTTTACTGCTGTGATCCAGCTGTAAATGATAGCTCTTTCCAAATTGTATTTTAAGCTGGAAAACAATCCCTTCATTCTCAAATTGTGTTCAAATGGAAGTTAGTGCTCTATGCAAGAGCTTTTTTTTTTTAAATAAAAAGAATGTGTGAACTTGGTTCTGAGTTCAGTCATGTTTTTCGTTCCAGCTATCAACAACCTAACTGATTTTCAACAGACTAGCATTCCTTTGATAGCATGCACGAAAAATGCACAGTTGTTTGATAGGTTTGGTGGAATCACATAGGGAAAAACTCCCCAAGCATTTCTCATTCGAGATGCTCTTTTGCCAACTATGCAGGAAAGGAATTACTGTACTGGTGATACAACAAAAATATCACATCATGAACTAATTGTGGCTGCAAGGAATTTGATCACTTAATGTGCCTAATTGTAATTACTCATAATTGGAATCAGATGCCCATTTCAAATCCAACATATATTAATTTTTTAATTTCCACTGCATATGTACTTGATGAGTATACTTGATGAAAGTCTTGTATATTGTACCCTTGCTTGTATATCAAGATCGAAACCCCGGTATTCTTCACTCATTCTTTGTTGATTTCCACATTTCATGACCAAGCTTCCAAATGGTATACAACTTAGTAGATTATTAGCTATCAACAGTTCATTCTTATTGTTAAACATTGCTTCCAAGAAAGAAAAAGAGGAGAAACTTAATGCATTCAATTATGAGCAGTGGCTGATATTGTATCTACATTTTTATATTTCATTCTTACTGTCCTTTCAGAGGTTTGCAGTCAGGAAGGCTCCCCATGACTTAAACTCAAGCACGTATTCTCTAACAGAGAAAGATGTGGCATAGACGTCACCATAGGGGGAATTATTCCTTGCTTCTTCTGTACTTGGCCTGGAAGATTCTTTATGATGAAGTTCAAGGCCTATCGGATTATGACGACTTCTTTCTGCCATCTTCACCTTCTGCCATCAAAAGTGAGTCAGGACAATACCATTGAAGCTCACTTTCTTCATGAAAACCAGGTTGTGCTGGTAAGAAACAACCGAACTATTTCTTGCTTGCTATGTGCTACCTAATTTGGCCGGGTGATCTTTCAATGTTTCAGTCTTTAGAAGTTTACACTCTTCATAATCTATTTCAACATGCAGTTCATAACCTGTTTCCCTATTTGCTTTTCTAGCCCTGGACATCATATCAGTGGAATCGGAGCCAGGCAGCGTTGTCAGTCAATGCACTACTGTAACGATGCGATGTCAGGTAAAGCCAATCAGGGGTGAAATTTATTGGTCTGTCAAGGGAAGAAACATTTCCAGAAACTTGACCAAAGAAGAAGTGTCGGAGGAGTTAGGTGTTCGAACTAGTACTTTTCTTCTGTCTTGTGTGAAGCTCACTCATAGTGGTAATTATTGGTGCCATGCATTCTTGCCCGAAAACCCAAAAGATGTGATAGGAAAGAATGTTTCCTTGGAAGTGCAATGTGAGTCTCTGCGATGTTTTCCCTTTGTCTAAATATCTCATTAGCAATGAGAATTGTCTAAATATCTCAAACTTAGCAATGATCATGTGCTGACTTTGAATATGCAGTTTTGCCAGAGCTGATTGATTCAAAAGCGGATAAGGTTAGGAAGGGAACCAATGGAACATTGAGTTGTTCCTTCAAGGCTCATCCTCCAGCCAAAGTGATATGGTTCAGAGACAATGTCATTCTCCCCAGGGATTCAAGGTATGTATGAATAAGCGCGGTAGCGCCTATTACCTTTCGTCAACCCCTTCCCATAACAAAATTCGAATTTCTCAGATTCCTCTCTGAGAGCATCAACAGGAACAAAGTGGGTTATTTTTCTTCCTCAACAGAGAATGTAGTATTGAAAATATGAAAACCATTTTTCAATGGCTTTACCTTTCTTCAACCCCAGCTTCCCCCCCCCCTCCCCTCCACTCCACCCTCTCCCCCACCTTTTCCCTCCTCCCTCTTCAGCATTGATCACTCCAGCAAATTTGAAGATCCACCTCCCAGGGGTTGTGGAGAACATTGAATCAATTTCTTTTTTAATATGTGAATTTCATTCCTTTTTTTCTCACCCCTCCTCTCTGAATAGCCATTCCTCTTAGGTTTTAGGAGGAAAGAGACCAAGAATGAGAAAGATATTGACTCGTAGATGATGAAAAGTTCCCTTTTTGTTGTTTGCAATGCACCATTTCCTCATTAAAAGTGAAATTAGCTGTCGTTCCTTTAAACTTAGAGTGCTAGCTCTGGTCCCGTCTCCCAATGTTGCCAGATGTCGTGCCAAAATTATACCAGACTACTTCGACCTTCCTTTTGACGTCTGGATCTTCTGAATTTTAAATGTACAGGGTGGCGCAAAAAAAAACTGGTCCACTTTTTAAACTGGTCTAGAACAGGAACTATTGAAGCTTACCGTTACATACGCTTACATTTACTTACAGCTTACACTTACCCTGTTTCCAAATGTTTCTTTACTCCTTTGTTGGGTGAACCAATTGGACTAAAAGTCCAATTGTAAGATTGCCAAGGCAATTTTGATATGGAGAGAGAGACTGCAAGTAGTGGTGGACCAGAAAGGAGGACACATTGAACATTTCTTGAATAAATAAAGGTTAGTTGAGGTGGAACAATCATTTTCCCATCATTTTACTACTTTTTTGGGGGTATGATTTTTTCAATTGGCCATGACAGCCATTCCATGGCACCCATGGACATAAAACCATACATCTTTGGAAAGGGCTTGGATTGAACTTTCATTTGCTTTTTTTGAACCTGTTAGCTTCAATAATTCTTGTTCTAGACCAGTTTAAAAAGTGGACCTTTTTTTTTGCGCCACCCTGTATGATACTTTTCTGAGTTCATGAGATAAGCTGAGAATGAAGCAGTAGTTAGCAGTGATTGATCAATGTGATGGAATATGGAGATATCCTATCCGGACATTCCTGAATTAACAGGATGGCGCACCATGGATTTCATGCTCCCTGGATGCATTCCCTCCTCAGACCTGCCTCAGACGTATTAGAGATGGCTCGAGGAACTCCAGATAGGCCTAACGTTCCACGTCCTGCTAAAATGGTTCGTAAAAGTATGAATAGGTCTGCGAGTGTCCTAACGTTACATGTCCTTAGGAAGATGTCTCGAAGGCCATGGATACACCCTCATAGGACTAATGGGCCCAATGTGTCGAGAATTGCGTTTCTTTTGAAAGAAAAAAGGTAAGCCTCGGCGTAATCTGATGGCAGTCTGTTGGTTAGGCCTAGGCTTAACGTTAGTGAGTCCTGTAGGGAAAGGTGGGAGGGTTGAAGAAATGGAAAGCCATTGAAAATTGGTTTTCACATTAGTTGGTGTTTGAGAATTAGTTGAAGTACTGTAATTCTCAGATCTCAAACGTTATGAAATTAGCACCAGGTGAATGCTTCTTCAGTTTCTTGAATTTCAAACACATTAATTTTTCAGCATCTCTTATTTTTCTGTGCTTTAGGTTCAAAGTGGAGACGAAGGCAAGTGCAGATGAGTCTGTGACAGTTCACCAGTTGATGGTTCTCCAAGCAGAATCGCATGACAATGGCACATACAAATGTGAGGCTTCTAATCCCCATGGCAGAGCAGAGAGTTTTGTGGCTCTCATTGTTCAAGGTATGTCCAGACAAATGGTTTCTCATCTTGTTATATGTAGCTGGAAAGCATTCTGCATGATACAGATGCATTGTATGTATGCACAATTGTCATGATATATTCTTTTCTTATGCTTGTAGAAAGGCCAAAAGTCACTCTGGATGTGGTGAAAGGAGTGGGAAAAGGGAAATTGTTCGTGAATTGGACAGTATCTGATGGGAATGCTCCTTTATATAAATATTATGTTCAAGTGAGCTTCTGTGGATTTGGTTTTCAACGTCTACTAGCTTCTAAAAATTCACATAAGCTTCACTGTCACCTGTTATCTTTTTTTGGTGTCTCAGTATATGAAAGAGGAAGGTATGCCCTCAGGATGGGTTGCCCTCAGGAAGACAGTGGCTTTGTCTGACCGCCAGATTGTTCTCGTGGGTCTCGAACCATCAACAGCCTACCGTGTGCGAGTACGGGGAAGGAATGCCATTGGCTTTGGGTCAATCGAAGAGAGTGTTGGCATCAGGACCTTGAACGAGGATATGTCATTTGAGCCAGAAATCACTCTCATAGCCTGCACATCACAATCCTTGAGCATGGCTTGGAATCCTCCACCGAAATCTATCCAGGACTTAGTTCCGTATTATGAATTGAAGGCCACTCCGTTTGGGACTCATGACGGAGATCCTCATCGGGTGCATGAGGCGAAGAGTAGGAAGGAGACCCAGCATATCTGGACACATCTAAGTCCAGGCATATCAGTTCCAGGTCAGTTGACATCTCACGATCTGCAACTCTTTCAATAAGGAGAGAAAATGCATATTTATTTAAGGTTAGTATTTAATTCACAACCAAATAATATTGACTGTCACAAAGAAGAAATGATTCATCACCAGATTTTAGTATTTTGTCACTCAATGAATTTACATCACCAAATTCTTATTACCATCACCAAATGACTTCATCACCAGACCTAATGACTCTTACACCAATTTCTCCCTCAGTATTTTCACCAGATGCCATGAAACGACCACCAAATTTTATTGAGTTAGCACTAAATCATTGTCACATTTCATGTGTCAAATAAATAAATGTTTCTTTTAGTGGGCCTGCAGGGAGAACACACTGACTATCCTTGCTGTGAATTAGCATTCCGAGTGAATTCCAGTCTTGACCCAAACAGGTCATGTGCATTCGAAATTTGGAGCTTAACTGCTCAGAGGGAGAGTCTTGTTCTCTTTAAGTTCTCCTAGTGCTACAGTTTCTGATTAGACACTCTTGTGACGAACCTCTTCACTTGTGTGTTTGCCGTCACTGCAGGCAATGAAGGCGTCTCTCTTTGTTTCAATGTCCTCAAACTCTCTGGTTGCCATGTCACCTTTAATATATAGGGCACACAGAAACTGGAAGTCAGCGCCGTACATAACTCCCATACATGTAAAAAAGTGCAAGGTGACTAGTTACACAGGTCCTCCCTCAAAAGTCCCTCCAAAGCATGATATGATCTTGCAATCTCATCTTGACATCACAGGTCTAACTGGAAATAAAGAAATATCCTTTCCTTGATAGGGTTGCAAATGCTGAGATGTCATAAGTTCGATGATGAGATCATTTTTTGGTGCGGGATGATGCAAATTTGGTGATACCAGCACCTGTGATGGTGCAATCATATTTGGTGAAATTAAAAATAATAATTTGGTGACTGATTCCAATTTGGTGAAAATTCATTGTGATCTGGTGATGGAGTCAATATTTTTGCGGGCTGGAAATATTTGGTGATAAGTTCATTATTATTTGGTGGGTGAATAAATATATTTCTTTATTTAATGGGAGTGTTCTGTAACTCCAGCCTGTGATGAGATTTATGCTTGTGGAAGACCCTCTCTGTTCTAATAAGTTAGTAGGACATGTATCACGCTTGAGATCATGAAACGTATTGCTTTTATTTTAAAGTAAGCCTACTTATATGTTCTTTCTTTTCATACATGGGGAGTTATTGAAATGGTTCTCCTGATGACAAACATCTTTGAATTGCTGTATTATTTTTCCTTTAGGTAACGGCTTGTAATGGCTACACAGAGGAGTGTGGACCATGGTCAAAGCCAGTCAATGGATCCACCGTTGATGGATGTAAGTACCAGTTATTCTTTGGGATTAAGGGGTATGTTGGGGGATGTTGGGATTTCACGGATTCAAATGAATCTCTGCGCTGAATTGCACTCCGTCTAGTATGGGTCTAGGTCAGAAGTTATTTGGTCATGTCCTTGCTTCGAAAAGAGAAGGCGAAACCGTAACCAATCAGGAAGAAAGACGCTGCAGAAATGCAACTAGGCTTCGACCTATCCAGGCCGTGTCAAAGGAGCCTATAGATGTTGGAGGATGTTGGTGCGGATAACTTTAACATGCTTATTCCATATAAGATGACAACAAATGGTTACACCTTGTAAATGGGTAATTAGTGAGGGCAGGGTAAGGCCTTTGTCCATGTGGACGCTTCCGTGGTGGAGTCTTCTTTGGCGGACGAAGAGAAGGAGGGAGAACTTGGTGGGGTTCATGCTAATTCGTCAATTGCGACAATAATTGTCGAGGGTCTCAAGAGCAGCCTGGGCTTGGGATTTAAGGGCGGCTTTATTTATTGCTGAAAGCCATTGCATGGTGTCGTCGCTTATCGGCTTTAAGCTTTGAGGGATAGGAGCAGAAAGGTCATTAACGTAAAGAATGAAGAGATCTTGCGGAACACCCGCGGTTAAGAAGCGAATATCGGGAAAATAATGCTAACCAGTATCGAGAATGATATATCAGTGAGATAAGATTATATCTATTCCATCAACTACAGGGGAATTTCAAAGTGAGAAAAGTGTGTCTCGGTGCATTCCAGACCTTATTAAGAGACTTTATGACGCTGAAATAGAGAGCGAGAAAGTGCTTTTTACTGTTGACACCCTGCAGTACGTCGTGGTGGAGGCTGATCTGTAGTGCATCGGTAAAGTCGAAAACCTTACTATGTGGGAGGAATAATAATAATGGAATCTAGCCATTCATTAAGGCGAGAGGCAAATATTTTTTCAGAAGGAGAATGGATTCAAGTGACTTTGCTTTGTTACAGTTTTTCCCAATTGCTAGAGCCCTATTTCATATCTTGATGGACATTTTTCAAAACTTAACGTACGATCCGCAAAACTCTGCGCTCTTTTCACACATCCATGCGTCCGACAGTCAAAAGTACGTCCCTTTCAAAACTCTTTTTTTCGAGCTTAATATTACAAGTATTGTACAAGATGTCATCCGTCGAGGCTGGACACGAGGTACTTACCTCCATTCCCGGTGGTAATGCACCTTGCCCAGATTTCTCTAGCGCGATGAGCAGAGGATCCATACACTCATTGAAAAAAATGGAGCTTAGCTGATCGCCCTGCTTCACTCCCTTCTCAATATTTATCAATCATGTACAGCATAAACAATTTATTTTTCCCCGTCTAAAATAGTTGTCTATGTTTTCCTTTTTCTTCTGTTCTACTTATCTACCCTTCACATATTCTGAAGTGACGGAGCGAGGGTAAGGAAAGACGGAGTTGAATAAAGATGCGCAACAAAAAAATTAGTATATGAAAGTTGTCCCTTGGGAAATTCAGGCAAAATAAAAGTCGCATAGAGTGGAGCTAGGAGGAAAAAAAGGTTATAATGGTTATAATGGTTTCTAATCTGCAGGGAATCTCCATTTCTATTGCGAATCCAGGTCTCACGGCTCAGTCTGAGGTGATGCCCAGAAGGGATTTTACTCTATGCTCACCGCGTCCCTGGTGTCCAGACGGTCTAGATGGCCTAAGATGCGTCGATTCGAAAGACGTCATTTCATGTGAAGAGGGTACCCTAAACACGAGTTTTGCCTGTCCTAAGGAGACGCAGGTCTGCTGCATCAGTTCTGCAGCACCAGTCACATTTTGTCATGGATGCGTGAGTCTCTGTTCAGCTCTTATTCTCATAACTTGTCCAGTTTGGAATAATATTATGCACTCTTGGAAAAAGGCTAACGCTAACTCCAGCTTCCCTCCTTTTTTGTTCACTTCTGCATTTGTTTTTACTCTGCAAGAGCAAATAGATGACCAACTTTGGTTAAGTTTCCGCTCCTTTTCTCTTTTCCTAATATCAGGGGAAGCATACTAGAGTTAGGGCTCGCTTGTTTTCAGGAGTGTGGAACCAAAGAGAATTTTGTTGTCTGTTACAGACGAAGGCAACCGGCTGTGCACCCCTTCAAGACATTAAACATGGACACTTTCGTTGCATATCTTTTGATGAGAGGTAGGCTTAATCCACTTCATATCCATGAATTGAGAAGGAAAAGACACATTGTTAAATAGGAGGAGGAAGTACGAATTACCACTGTAGATACTAAAGCATTTTTCATGAATGAGCTCTTGCATGGACGTCATGAGACTCTTGCATCCCATTTTAACGTGTCGAAATACTGTAGTTTTCAGTAGATTGGTACTGAAAACTCGGCAGGCTTCTTTACAGTTCCATGGATACAGCCAACAAAGCACTTTCACCGCGCGCCATACTTTTCGAATTAAGTTCAAATGAAGCTCATCATAATACAAAATTATTGGTTTTAGAGTAGCTTTAGAGTTGCTTTTGAATAGTCATTTTTCGAAAAAAAAAGTAGTTTCCACGAAAATAGGATATTATTATGCTTCAACTCGCGCAGATTGATATCATCATAAAAAGTTGAGGATATAAAAAAATTGTTAATTAGCTTAATTAGTTTCATTGTGCCTAACTTGTTGTCCCTGACAACCACTCTAGTCGCAATTTTCTAGTTACAGCGATTTTCAGCTGACAGACGCTGCTCTGAACAGCACAATTTTTCGTATAATAATCCTTCATTTTTGGCTGAGACCTACCATGAATGTTCTTCCAAGGAATGATCGTAGTTTTTTCCTTTTTCCAATCCTTCAGCACTTTTTCGTACCATTGAAAATGTAATTAGATATCTATAATCGCGAAAAATCTTTTTGAAAAAAATCACCTATTTCTTGGAAAACTGTCTCTCAGGACATTTGTAAGGATTTGAACTACAACTCTAGTCAATTCCATCAAACATATGTGAACAATCTGGGAAAATTGCTGCTTCAAAAAAGTTTATTTTTGCGCTCTGGCGGCCATATTGGATCTCACACAAATTGTGCAAATTACCTCAATAAACGCAATATTTGCCCAATCCTCTTTCATATAGTCAGTTTGGTTTCTGCGAAGAAACATATATGTAAAAGATGCCTCAAAGTAGGTCTACTACATTAAGTGAGATGCCATGTGCTGCCCCTGCAGGAAAGATGTTGAGCAAGAAGATGGGATTAGGAACAATACAGAATGCCTTAAATTTGGGAAATACCCGACAGGAAGTAAAGTGACGTATACCTGTGACAAGTATTACATACTGAGGGGTCCACGCATCCGAACTTGCGGAAATAATGAAGAATGGACGGGGCCAGTTCCCTTATGTGAGCCTGGTTCGTCTTTAAAATGTTATTCTCTGTTATTTTGGAGTCAAGTTGGAATTATTATCGAGTCAGTTACTTCCACCGTTAATGCAGAATGTGGAAAATCCCGGGAGGCTGTACCGTATCACTTGACGACTGGAAAAGAAGCACCTGTCGGGGCATGGCCATGGCTGGTGGCTATCTATGACAACGATACGGAGGTGAAAGATATCATTTGTGGAGGGGCCTTGATTGGAGAGCAATGGGTTCTCACGGCGGCACATTGCGTTGTACGGTATGAACCCATCTTTCAAGTCCGAAATGCGAAGGACTTCCTCGTCTATCTTGGCAAACAATTTCGGAATGATTCCAAGGACAATAGCTTTGTACAAAAGAGGAAGGTGCAGGATCAGATCGATTTCTCGTTTCCTCCATTTCCAATCCCAGATCAGGGAAAGTCATGGTATGTGTTTTCAGGTTGCTCAGATCATCCCGCACCAAATGAACAAGCTTGACACGTTCAATGCAGACATTGCACTTTTGAAACTCGAGAAGCCTGCCAAGTTGACAAAAATGGTTCAACTTGTCTGCCTCCCTACCGAAGCATACCTGTCTCAGCGCAACATAGCTCACGGATCGGATGGATGGGTGAGCAGGCACAACCACTTCTTTTTACCTTCCACGTAGGAAGACCTTATTTTTGCTCGATTATCAGAAAAAATATGTTTGGAATAAATAATCGGAAAAGGGGTCCAACGTCTATTGGAAAAACCCGTCTAAAAATGTTAGCCTATACCCATTGTATAACTACCGTCCCAAAAATTCGAAAGGGCCCTTTATTGCTTTTATAGCCCATTTACTGCATACTCGTGCACTGCCAGTCATATGAACATAATTCCAATATAAACATAACCATCTTGAAAATTAATACGCCAGCACATGTGGTCTCCATATTCATTCAAGATTTTGAATATTTTCAGGGAAATATGTAATATGTTTCAATTTTTCTCCCTACAATTAAGTCTGAGATACAATTAGAAGCAAAACCGAAGTTAAAGTAATTGTTAAATTTAAATTATTGAATTGAAATTAAAACTTGATCAAGTACTTCATCCTGTGGGGCATTTAATGCAAATCCAAGCAAAATGCAGGGTGGTTATGAAGTCTCAATCTATTTTTGAGACTTTGAGAAAGATTTATTATAGTCGGTTAGGGTTGTGTCCAAAATATATCATTAGTGCACCTTTATGCATGGCCACCGTCCATAGCTCGCCAGTGCTTCAACATACCACGCTATATGAACACTTAGTGTAAATTGTTCATATAACACATATACAACTGCACCGTCAATACGATTCCGCAAATACCACCAATCGCAATTCTTGCTCCTGTAACCCGCGACTTGACGAAGCTTCGAACATGAATGTCCAGTGATGCAACGGCAAGAGATGTTGATGTCCATCGTCATGTGCACCATCCGTGACAGCGTTCGTTGGGTTACTAGTAGTGGAGTAGGATGATGATGACATGAAATGGGATGAGGCGCTGAGGGAAATGGGAACGTCACGTCAAAATGAAACTTTTATAAAAGTATAATATTCCTTTGGAAACAACGAGACCCAAATGTGCAAGTTTACAAATAAAATAACCAATGGATTGCCTAATCCTGGGCCTGGACCGCCAAAAACGCGAGTCTCGTTTCTTTCCCGAAGGTCAAACAAACTCACTTTTTGGAGGCAGTGTCAGGAAATTAAGTAGCATTGCTCATACAAGTTCGTAAGTCTGATAGTTCGAGTTCGAGCCGATTTTAGAAAACGGGGAATCTATAATTTCTTGGACGGTGGTTTTTTAGCATTAAGGTGAACCCCAACTACTGTGATTTCTTACATCTTTTATTTTCGATTGTCGAGCACAATTGTGATAGTTTTCAAGTGGAATGATCCTACTTACATCTGCTTGTCGCTCTCGATTAATTTCATGGCAGGTGGCAGGTTGGGGTTACGACGCCTCAAATTCTCCATCTAAATTCCTGACTAACCTCAAACTATCTGTCCATTCTCAAGAAGGTTGTATACGTCATACAATTACAGTCCATGGAAAAAGTCCCACCATCACCGACACTGTCTTCTGTGCTGGGCAACTGCAAGACCCTGATACTTCGTTAGGTATGATCATCTACTATTCTGTGGCAGAGGCACCAAAATTAAGAATAAATGCTGATCATTCTAATATCTTTATCACGGATAATGGCCTTTTGTAGAAGTACCTCAACTATTTCAGGAAAGTGAACTACGGAGGAAGTGCGGTGTTTCTTACGGGTTTAATTTGTCAACGAAATGTTGAGATAACAGTTATAATAGTCTCAAAGCATAAACACATCTGTTATGACGACTATATTGTGCCTGCAATGGAGCTTTTTTCATCCAATTCATCATGAAATAAAAACATGTCAATTCATAAATAATTTCCGTTTTTTCCCATTCATTCAAAATCTTGTAACGACACCACCGGATTTTATTTCACGACATATTCACCATCATTTTCAATGACCTTTCCCCATCTTTTTGGCAACTTGTCGATTCTTCGGGCGTAGAACTCCGGCGGTTTGCTGTCGAAGAACTTCACGAAAGCTGTACCGACCTCATTCTCATTTTTGAATCGCTTTTCCCGGAGATGGTTTTCCAGTGAGCAGAACAGGTGGAAATCAGAAGGAGCAAGGTCTGGTGAGTAGGCCGGATGCGGTAGAACAGTCCAGCCAAGCTCCAAAATTTTTTTCTGGGTGATTTTTGCAGTGGGCGGCCTGGCGTTGTCATGCAGAAGGATCACTCCTTTTCTGTTGACGATTGCCGGCCGCTTTTTGACAAGTTCCTCGTGCACCCGTTGCAGCTGCTGCGAGTACACTTCCAAGGTGATTGTCTGGTTGTTTTTGAGCAGCTCGAAGTACACGACTCCTTGACGATACCATCAAATGCACAGCATGATCTTCTTTGGATGGAGGTCGAGTTTTGGCTCCGGATTGGGGTGTTGATCCCGATCTACCCATTGCCTCTTGCGGCCGATGTTAACGTAACATACCCATTTTTCATTTCTTGTCACGACTCGGTCAAGAAACAGCTCACCGAGTTGCCGAGAGAGCGGAGATGGAGAGTCGATCAGCCTTGTTTTTGTCGGACAATTCGTGAGGTACCCATGTTCCCAACTTGTTGACTTTTCCAAGAGCACGAAGGTGGCGAAATACGGTCGGTTGGGAAGTGCCAAGCTCTTCGGCCAATTCATAAGTTGATTTACGTGGGTTAGCCTCGATCAACGCCTCCAATGCGTCGCTATCGAACTCCAAAGGGCGACCGGGACGTAGTTCATCCTTGAGCGATACATCTCCTGACCGAAACTTTGTGAACCAATTCCGGCACTGGCGATCGGTGATGGTGTCCTCTCCAAAGAAGGCGCATATCTTTCTGGCTGTCTCTGTCGCATTTGAGCCTTGCTGGAACTCTAAAAAAATGCAGTGCCGAATATGCGTTCTTTCGTCAACCATATTACCCTTACTATTTCAACATAAAACTGGAAAGACACAAGAATAGTATATTACCAAACAATTCCCAATTTTCTCTATCGAATTACATATAACACGATTTTTCACTTAAAACTTGAAACAAGTTACAATAGTTTCAAAAGAGTAGGCAACAAACGGAAATGATTTATGAATTGACCTAAATACATCATCTGATTTTAGAATATGAAACGGTATGCGAGGGAGATTCTGGGAGTCCCATGGTCTTCCTCACCCATTCCAGAGAGCACAGAAGTCCCTTTCTGATCGAGGGAATATTGAGTCACTACTATAGACTCCACTACCAGAAATGTTCCGACATGCAACCTGGCCAGTTCGCCATCTTCACCAAGGTCCACCGGTGAGATGTTACTTTTCCTTCCCATCCCTCCTCGATCAAGTTATCTTATCAATATCGCCAAAAGATGTTGAAACATGATTTTGGGTCCGTGGTTTCAATGGGGTAGATGCCTTAATGCAAAAAGAGGAGCATCACATTAATAGATAGTAGAGGGTAGTATTCCCACAAAAACATTCATCTATAAGTCCGAATATATATTTTTTACTATAGTAAATGAACGTTCGATCTCGACACGGGATGGCGTAATCGGCAGAGTTTACCAAACTTATGGCTTCCTGCAATCCGTATCTAATCTTGAGCCTTGAAAAGAAATACACGACGGTAAGGTGACATTTGGCACGAAACTCGTTCTTGATGTGCTGATTTTAGGAAGAACCTCATTTTTAAGAATTTCTCATGGAGCTTAATTTTGGAGGGTCTTCTAATTTACATCTAGGCTATCTAATCTGAATTTGGAATATTGATATTTTGCTTGACTTCATTCTTCATGGTTTCAGTGGTAGGTGCTGTTCCTCAATTTCTTCTTGATTTCCCTCAGGTTTATGGAATGGATCGAGCAAAGCATGGCGATGTACGCAGATTAAGCCCGCACGAGCTCATCAATCATGAAAATAAACCCTGCTCTTCATACCATCCAGTGTTTTCATCTCCTCAAACCGGATGAGTTGTAATTGGGATGCCGGTAGCAGTGGTTTTTCTTCCAACTGCCAATTTGTCAATGGAACAGATCATGGACTGAAATTTCAATCGCGTTTGGGAAAATTAGCTGTAATTTAAACTATCCAGAAAGTGTTCACGCGGAAGCCTGCTTCTCACTTCAAATTTCATTGCATAATGCATGGTCAACTAAAGGAGCGAAAAATAAATATATGGTGCATGACATGAATTGATGTGTCGCAGCAAGCAGGCGGTTTTGCACCGCTCACTCCTCTGACAATATCTGAACTATTCGAATAAAGGACAAGCCCAAGAAGAAGAGAGGAGGCAAAAAGGAATGCAATTATGAGGCTTTAATTCAAACCGGGGGACCCCGACTGAGATGCAACTAAGGTCCTCCGGTTAAACATAGCGTGTACAATCCTGACCGCTGGGTAAGCCGATCGACAAATGCATTTGAGTTTGCGTTACAATGCTAAAGGCCAAACGTTTCGCGATATGAGTTATGGTCCAAAATTATTCGAACTTCCCATGTAGCCATTTCCGAAGATGGTCGTCAATTTTTTTATCTGCTTTCCTTATCATTTAATAATTTAAAAACAAAGTTTTTGACCCCCAGGACGCGATGGAGACTCGAAAGAGAAAATTTAGTAAGCGAGTGCGGGTGGTTCGGCTGCGGAAATGACGCAATTTCCGCCCTTCTGTGATGAACACACGCGCGTGATCATGTTTTACAGTTTCACAGTGGAGCCAAAGCGCATAAGTTTTTTGACGACATGAAGAGAAACCTTGGGGATGATTCGCCATCAATATCAACCGTTTTCCGATGGTTCCAGCGATTCGCGAGTGGACATTTTGAGCTTCATGATGAGGCTCGTTTAGGACGCCCCAGAACCTCAACTGACGACAGAAACGTTGCTCGTGTGGCGGCAGAAGTGGCAGGAGATGGTCGTTTGACAGTTGAGAAGCTAGAAGAGACGTTGGGGATCCCATTAACGTCAATTTTGAGAATCTTGCATGAAGAACTCGGTTACACAAAAATATCTGCAAGATGGATCCCTCGCATTTTGAACTAATGTGACGTAACAAGCGATCTATATTAATTGGTCACTTGTCCCGTTCCAGATTCGAGAGTTAAGGCAGGTTCGCCAGACAGAAATTCTGGAGAAATGGAAACCCTCGTGATCTTTCCAAGTAAATTACTTAACTTTATTAAAATAAAGACACTAATGAAATATCAATAAAAAAAAATAAAGGAAATAAGGAAAACACAGTTCTTCACAATACTTGTTAAAGAATTTAAGTTATTACTTAATATTGGATGGGAGAAGGATCCAACTGGGGCAAATTCTACTTGAATTTGCAGGTTAATTATATTACTGTTCTCTCTCTCTAAGTTACTCTAACTTTAACTTGGGCCACACACCTCACACAACCAAGGGACAGGGCTAACCTTTACGATGGTAGGTTGTCCTGGAGTCAGCTCCGGATATGGTAAGGTCACAATGGTGCCTTCCAAATAGCGACTGACTCCAGGATCCAAGTCTCCGGCTAATATCCTCGATACCTCTGGGAGGAGCCAGGGTACCTTCCTCCCAAAATCCGAGGTTCGGATTGGATATTCGACTTGGCCCCCTTTTGTCCCATTGGCTACCCTTTCGGTGTTGGCCTCGACTTAATTTATTTAAAGTCATCACGATGGTGTGACTTGCTCATTATCTTAATGGATTTGGTTTTATGTGTTTGCCCCAGTTGGTTACAGGGTTGTCCCATCCCTACACTGATAACATTTCATTATTCTTTACTTTACACTGAGTATTAGGCAAAATCAGGTATTTTTCCTTAATTCCTTATAATATCGTCAGTAATTAAGTTATCAAATCAGCTTGAAATAATCAAAACACTTTCCTTTAATATGCAATATTAGGATTAACAATATACCACCTGCAAGCCAATTTCTCAAAGGTTATAAAAAAAATTAACATTATTTCATTTCCTTTTGACAGACCGTTAGGAAGGGAAGAGAAAGGTGGGGAAAATATTAGAGTAGAAAAGGATGAGATTCCTGCAACTCTCTTTTCAACACCTCAGGAGGAGTAAACAGTATATTTCCTCCTTCTCTTCTTTTGTAAAAGGGCGGAAGACCCCGTTCTTCACATAAGATCAAAAAGACGCCCGTGTCGCATTTTGCAGGAAGTTTTTGAATGACTTTCAAGAAGGGAAATCACCAACATTCAAGAAAATCGTCCCAGGTGATGAAGCCTGGTTTTATCGGTCTGACCCTGAAACGAAGCAAGAATCAACGCTGTGGGGTCCAAAAGGTGGTGTGCCACCTCTGAAAGCGCACCGCGAGAAATCAGCTGAAAAAGTGATGTTTGCGGCTTTTTTCTCGCATGCTGGACTTGTTGCTGCAGTCCCGTTGGGAAAGGGGCAAACAGTAACATCTGACTGGTACACATCAAAATACAGTACTTTCTAGAGATTTTCGAAAACCTCGCCAGACGTAATCAGAAGTCAAGGCTTTCTCAGCACTTCTTGCACAACAATGCACCGGCACACAAGGCGGCAAAGGCACTGCTGTTTATGGGCGCATCTCACATCAATCTCATCCTAGATGTGCCACCCTATTCTCCAGATCTGGTCTGATAATTTTTGGTTATTTCCAAGGATCAAGAAGAATTTTTGCAAGAAATGACAATTTGAAAATCGTGAAGAAGTCATCAGAGAAGGGAAAAGGGAGCTGCAGGAACTCAAAAACGAAGATTTTGAGGAATGGTTTTAAAAATGGTTGCAGCGGATGAAAAAATGTTGGTGGTAATCATGTAGAGGAGTGTTGAATAAATGCCCTTTCCGAGAAAAATTTTTTTGCCTATCTTTATTCCTTCTGTAAAAGTCTGAATAATTTTGAAACATCCCTCGTAGGAGAGAGTCTGAAGAGAAAGGACAAAATGTCCTGTGCCTCGTCTGAGTTTCTGCCTGGCGTCAGGGAGGAGTAACAGCAGAGACAGTCACCACTCAAGTTGGAGGAGGCAGGGCAGAGAGTCCGAAGGTACAGCAAGGACAGGACCCTCATCCTTGCAGCCAGGCCATAATGGAGAAATACGTTCTGCTGAGCACCAACTAGTGCTGTCAAGAAGTGCCTCACAAATGCTGCTAGGAAATGTCATCATGTATGCCCCAAGAATGCCTCCTAAACAGAGAAACCTTCCCTATTTAATCCTTCCAGCTGTTTTCACGTACACTGTCGGGTAGGTGCTATAAATTCCGCCGCCACGCTATTTATTTCGGCTCGATCAGAAGTACAAGCAGACTTTTTCAACCTAATTACGCAAGTGTTTGATCCCTAAACATGAATGAACAGTGTATTTTCCTCTCAATTAGCATAGACCTCAAAAAGATGCATATTAAGCCGTTGGTGAGGGGACAGATTTTGAGCTTAGAATTTTTCAGAATTTTTTTTAAATACCCGATCAATACTTGGGAGATCAGGTCAAAACTCAGTCCTTCAAGGGTTAAAGGGAGGAACCAGGCAAGATTGGTCAGAGAAAGTCCTCCGGCCCAAGATGAGAAGACCAGTTATATGCCCCATGGACAGGGCAAACATGGTGAAAGGAGTCAGAAAAGCCCCATGAGTATGTGACAGATACACCTTCGGTACTCCTTTCAACGTTATTAGCACCCAATAGGAATAGGCAATGTACACTTACCAAATACAATGGCAGGACCTGGAGCAACACCTAAAGTGAACATCACTGAAGCTCCAATGGACAAAGGCCAATTGGTAAGTAGAAAAACTTGAACATTAAAAAGTAACACCAACAATCCTTTGAATTTCCTTAAAACTTCCTTCTTCAGTGTCTTCATTTACAATCTTACTCTTTTCTACCTCAAATGTTGTTTGGTGTAGGGTTGAAGGAGTTAGGTGAAGTACCTCAATTCCAAAAGAAGGGTTTAAACATTGGAGAACAACAGGAAGGACTTCACTTCTTTTCAAAACACATCACTGTTCTCATATTGTGCACAGATGTCCAGGCACATTTATTGTCAAGGACGAAGTGACCCGAGAGATAAGATCAGGCTAATACGACATTGATACCTGAGAAACTGCAGGCATTAGGGACAGGCAAGGAGAGCTTCCCTTTCTATATTCGACTTTTTTTAACCTGAGGGTTACTAAAATCAAATGAATCTCAATTTTTGATCTGGTAACTTTTCTCATATTGTGCCAGAAATAGCTTTTCCTTACGGGGACAAGTTGGTTCATTAACACCATTACCGATTCCACTTTGCAGAGAACAAAGTTGAATCGCATTCATTCATAAAGCATATACAAAGTCTGCTCTTGAAACGGATGAAGCACAACCGTCAAGATATGATCTCCAAGGGGTCAAGGCCAAAGTGTGGGAAAAAGTCCTGCTTTTCTGCTGGGGTAATGGAACACATTGATTCACTCTCACAACCTTCTGGATGGAGAAATAGGAGCCTCAGTTAGATAAAATCACTCCATTTCCATTAGATTGACACTCAAAGTCACAAACAATCATGTCTCACATGAGATTCAAGACCACACCCCAATACATGCAAAGAGGCATACTTTTTTCTCATGGACACCCTCCTCATGGTCAACAAAATGCAGAGAGAAAAATTCCTGCATGAGTTTTACCAGCCTAGGCAATAACACACCTCTTGGTTGAACTGTATTCCAAAGTTCATGCGCCTTGAATTGGGCATTTCGAAGAAAAGGAACGAAATGTGCTAGAAATTGAGACAAAAAACGCTACTCCCAAGGGTTTTTTTATTTTTATTTTTTTACCTTTATAGCCCCTTGCACGAAATGTCCTCTGATTACTAGATGGAGACAAGTTTCTGGATTGCAGGGAGGCATTTATAATTGGTTAGATGTCCGTATGGGTTCCCATGGAATGTTCACACTAAGCGAACCATTTCTACCATTCCTACCATTTCTAGTAGGACTGCTGCCTCCGCCTTCATTTGACCGAGCACTAATACCTCCTAGGGTGCTTCTGCGGTAATTCACCGCAAATTTCGGAAATGTCGACGCCTGAAGCATCATGATTTCTGTCCATATCCCCTCGGGAAAATCCCAGTCTAGCCATGAAGTCGGATGGGTTAGGACTTGGGTGAGTCTCTCCACAGGCTTACATCAACATCTCCCGCTGAAAAATTTTCATATTGGTCTCATCATCTTTCTCAGTTTCTAAAAATTGATGGAATATTTTTGACGTTGCTCTGACTGATTCGGAGAGCGGAATGCATGTTGCGGAACTTTCTTCTCGTTGCACCTGACCTATCTCATCTGTCATTCCTGATTTATCGGGAAAGACACAAATGAATAGCGTGGATATTTGCGTGGACCTCCAATTTTAAACTTCCTTCAAAGTTTAAAGGTAATTCTTGGGAGTCATTTGGAAATCAGCACGAATATATTTTCAGTTTTAGATAGTTTGAACCTTGGAACCAAAGTATCTCCACCAAACCAAAGTAAAAGAATGAGAATAATTATTCTTTTTCTTTTGCACAGATTACGAACGAATAGAAAGAGATTACGTTCAAGATTACGAACGAGACCCAAGTCCAGACACTTGGCGACAGTAGCAAAGTCTGGAACACTGTTCTCTCGCCTCCTTCCTCCTGAAGTCCGAGGTCGAGTTTATAAAGTGTTCCTTCCCATTTGTCCATGTCACGGCAAGTCGAACGATGAGTATCTGGATGACTGGACGAATGCTACCACATCAATAATAATCCTTTAATGATGTGGTTCTCCGGACGACCGTCGATTCATTTTGACACATGTCGTGAACCGCCATAGATCACAAGGTATCCTTCCTTTTCTCACACCACCGTCTTTCTCGTCTACCCGGTACACTAACGCCACTGAATGACGAATGGACGATAGAAGAATTAATATTGCTTTTCCATTATTCCTGGGAACTCATTAGGCATCCAAGAATGGAAGACGATTAGTTTCTGGGGTGCTACAGGCGCATGAAAATTCGAAACGGGAAGTGCAAGGCTGTTTCTTCATTGCCCGAAAAGGTGGCACGAGCAAAGCATTCCTGTACACCACGCTGATTACATAGAGGACAGAACATTTTGAGCCTTGCGTGAACAGGTATTGCTGCAATTCTATTGCCGTGACGCGCGATTTTCGACTTTCTCGTCACGCATAAAAGGTGTCTTTCATTGCGCAACAATTAGGCGATGATTCTAGCTACCGACGTAGCCATTTGGTACGTGGCGCCGAACGCTCCCGCTGAAGCGCTGGCGATAATCGAACGGGCGTTTCGAGACTTGTTGGACGGAGACCGTCCATGCAAAGTAGTTGCACTAGGGGGTGACTTTCGCTGGGTGTTTCCAATCCTTCGTGAAGCATCTCGCGGTCATATCGCGAAGACTGGCATCGATGAAGCCCATCGTTTAGAACAAATCTTTCTAGAACGTTCGTTTTGTTTAATAGCTGCTCGATGAGGGCAGCGAAACACTGCTGCGAGTACAGGGCAGTCGACTTTCCAGTCGTTAAACGACAGTCGTTTACCGATACTTACCGCGTTTAACAGAAGATCGTTCAGCAAAATATCGGGGATAGGATCCATGTGGACGCTGGCACGGGCCTGCGAGGCCGATTAGAGCAGGAAGGGCGCCATTCTAGGTCCCAAGAATGAGCGCTCGCGTTTGGTCAATGAGGACGTGTCGTCCAGATTGGAAAGCGAAATACGGACATGTCACGATATCGACTATGTGAAAAACGATCATGATGATGCCGCTTAGCGGGTGAACTTTTCGGTTGAATAATCCAACACTTTAATACCCTAAACCTTATAATTGGAGCTATCGTAATGCTTCTGCGGAATATTTTGATTAAGAACAGTCTTCGCAACGGCACACGTATGATGGTGAGAGACACTATCGCAAATGTCGTACAAGTCGACCCGAACACGCCTAGTGGCAGCGTTCATCTGCTGCCAAAAGTTTCACTGGAAACGTGATCCGACGTGAACGTACCGTTTCATCTTTGTCGACGTCGGTTTCCTATCGAGCCTACAATAAACAAGTCCCAGGGAAAGACAATCGATCGAGTC